ACTAACGAATAGATATATCGCTGAATTTCTGGCGATGCATATACCTGGGGCCTGGTTACGTTTCTGATCTCGAGAATAAGCCCAGCATAATCGGCGCAATAGTCGATTTCCTCCTTCTCATCGCTTGGGCCTCTGTAGTGGAAGTTCTGCCCAAACCAGAACTTCTCCTTCACATACTGATACACCGGAGGATGTGCGTGCTCCGATTCAATCAATGGAACAATTATAAACATACTGGGCTTCCGTATCACAAAGCTTCCAACTTGCACTCGACTCTGCGGATTGGTCCGTGCAACAGTAGTGTCGTATTCGTCGATTTGGTTCAACAATGGAAATAGCCCTACTTTTTGCTGCTCGTGCGACAACTTCTCCATATTCCTCCAAATAACCACATTTTTAAATGCATATCCACTCATATTTTCGTCCCAATATATCATTTGCCGTATTAGCAGATCAACCGAGTTGTTATCTAGCTCGTGCTTTACATCGACCTCACAGATGTCTTCTGAATTAAACTGGCATGATTCTTGTAGCAATGTTTGAAACAAAAAAACAGTATTTTCATAATCGTTGGTTGTTAGCACAAATCTTTTCTCACCTATTAACGCCAAAGAAAGGGCAGAATAGACGCTATTCATGACATATTGTTCTATATTACTCTTATCTACACTATAGAAGAGTAAGAAATGATGGTTTAAAAATGTCGCGAGACTATAACATTCTACGCGACATTATAGGGAAGAATCGCGACATACGCGTCGGTAAACTTTTTGTTATTATTTCGATCCTGAAGAGATCTTCCTTTGTTAAAAAAAGGCTTCTGGAAAGAAAAAAAACAAATACCCATTGGAACAATTGGAGCTAGCATATAGAAGAAGAAATACTAGTTTTCATATATTCGGCGTTTGTGAGAAGGATCTGTTAAATTTCCAAGTCATATTAATTAAAAAAAAGATACTGAATCGAAAGAGACGCTATAGAGCTATTCTTCAGTAAAAAAACGAGGAACGATTAAAGTTGTGATTGCACCGTCAGTACTGTTAATGGAACCCAAATTGCAAACGTTACCGCAATACTTCAAGACGGAAACCTCGCCAATGATTCAACATTCTGCATTTCCACCGTTTAAGATCGAGCACAGATATAGGGGAGTTTATGAGAGGGCAGGGTTTGATGTTAATTTGAAGGGCGATTCCCCCACGTCAGAAGTGAGGTCCACCAGGTCACCTACGATGCAGAGATTCCATCATTCTTCGAATGGGATGAATTCTCCTAACTCTAGTGCAAATTCTATTGGTTCGATGAAAATCGACTCCGCGATGCCTAGCTCAGCGAAAACTTCCAAATCGTTTGGCGAGCTTGAAAAACGTACACCATATCCTGTTTATGAGAACAGCGCCCACTCGGAATCCCAACCAAACACTAGCCAACTTCCAGCCATATCTTCAGCATCTTCCAATTTGGCTTACGATCATTCACAATCTGCTAACTCTGTGAAACCTGAACCAGAAGTGGTGCAGATTCAACAGTGTGACACACCAGACAATACCGAATTACCTTCGCCTAGTAGTAATGGATTTAGATTTATACCTTCGGCAACGCAGAATAAGAACTTGAAAAATCTATCGCTTAATTTGAATGATCCAGAACCTAATGGTAGTGATAATTCCGAGATGAATGAAAACGACGATGAATCAATTCCAAACGAGTCGTATGACACTTCTAGTGAAACTTCTGTTGATAATCCTTATATACAGAAAAATGACATCGGATCAAAACGCTCAAGCCAGTCAAGTATACGGACGGCTGAATTAACGTCTTCGCTGATGCAACCCGTTCATGGATTACCATCACCACCTCCAACTTCGAGGAGTTGTGAACTACAACCTGATAACTCCTTGATTAAGAAGCAGAGATTGTCATCTGCCTTAAATGAATTCAGAAAAGACATTGAAGACCACAAAAATTATGTTCCTAAAACTCCATCAGTACCAAATACCCCAACATTTGGTGAAACACCTCAATTACCAACCTCATTTCCTCCAAATGTAGAATTAAACCAAACTGAATCGTATCAAAATCCAGATAGCAGGTTTTCATATAACCAGAATTATGTGAATAGTGCTAATGGTGATTCATTAAACAATAATGCATCTGTGGACCACAATGTTGACCCCTCTAACCAATTTCAAAATTTTAGAGATCAACAATTAGCTGCAGGTACTCAATTAAATGATGAATATCAAAATTTCTTGCAGTCAGGCGGCAAAAGTCAGCCTAGAGCTAGTCAAGTATCTATGGTTAGCTCCATTTTGTCTAAGGACTCAGATTACGAGAAAGATAATGGTGCAGACGAAGCAATGGAACGCCAGTTACACGCTTTGAAAATGGGTGAACATAATATTGGCCATACAGTACATGAAACTGGTAGTACAGCTCATAATAATGACGAAAACTTGCAGCATATTGATTCAAATGCTAATATAGATAACCCTTCTTCACCTTGGGATAGTTCTGTTCCAAAATCAACACCTAACGTGATTCCAGCAGCTATTCCTACAATTCACATTCAAAACATAGATGACGATGATTCCCCAATAAGTGCTAATCATTCTTTTGATCATGACTCACAAGACCGTACAAATGCAACATGGGAGTCAATAAAACCATTATCAGTCAATAACTCTGAAAGAAAGCTGTTGAGTGATACTTCTAATGATAGAGCGATTGAAAGACAAATTAATGTTAATGAATCTAATGAGGGAATTGAAGTTAAGCCTTTATCACCTAAAAACCACCTAGTGGAGGAAGAATTGAGAAGTATGAATTTTCCAGTGCAGCAAGTATCAGATTCTGTGGATGATAACAAAGAAGAAATCTCCGATGACTCTTTTAAGTATCCATCTGGTAAAGGTCCATGTCGTGCTTGTAGGAAGGAAATATCTCCGTATAGTAGGGGATCAGAAAAGGCTGTTTTTTCTAAGACTGGCGAATTGTCTGGTCAGTGGCATAGATCGTGCTTCACATGCGTCTATTCTGGATGTACGGTCCAATTCAGTAAATCGATACAATGCTATGTTTATGATGATAATGCATTTTGCCATAGTCATTATCATGAATTGAACGATACTTTATGTCAACGCTGTTCGAAGGGTATTGAAGGGGAATGTGTCGAGAATGAATTACATCAAAAGTGGCATTTACATTGTTTAACATGCTATCAATGTAAATGCCAAATAAATAAAGATTACTATTTAATCAATGGAGCAAGCTATTGTGAAGAAGATGCGGCGAAGATTATTACAGAAGGTGGCTCATACGAAGATATGAGCGGTAACGTGAAGACAGGTGGATTAACTACCTCGGATAAGGTAGAAAAAAGGAGAACACGGATTATGTATGTAGAATAAGTTTATTGTTTCTTTTTAAAAATTTACTGGTGTTTTTAGACTTAATTTATTGTGTATATTTGCATGTTTGTTTTACAGCGTTTTTCTTATAGAATACATAATTTAGAAAACTACAGCCTGGTACAAGTTGAAACTATCATCAAAGTATATTTATAAACCTAATAATCTCTATAACCGTTTGTATTTTGTTTGGAATTCTTGGATATTTCTCCCAATCCCAAGTCGTCTACACCATCATTTTCATCCACCTCAAATTCACCATTCTGATCTTCTGAATGAACTAGAATATTCTTCTTATTTGCTACATAGTCTGGATCTGTAGCGGTTTCGTCGTCACCCTCATCTTCGTCTTCAATAATGAAATTATCCGCATCGTAGTCAGCAGAATTCAATTCCACATTATTTGCAGACTCAATATCTTCGAAATTACCAAATATAATTGCATCATCACGAGGAATTATACCTCTCTGATGGTAAAATTCTAGCTTTCTTTGCATTTTATTGTAAATTATGTATGTTGTTAATGAAGCCGCAGCACCCGTTATTATGATACTAAGTATATCAATTAAATGGGTAGACTTACCCTTGGTGTCATCCCCCAAATCTTTTAATTTATGTCCGACAAAAATATGAATCATCAATTTGGGAGAAGTTATCAATGACGCTAAAAAGTAGGTTGTTGCTGGTAATTCGGGAATAGCAGCCAATGCACCATTCGACAATGAATAAGGTAATGGACAAAGTCTCAACAATACCAAAATGAAAAGACTTGAATCCTCTCGTAAAATCTCTGAGAAAGCCCTGAAACTTTTGTTTGAATTCATGAGTCTCTCTGCTCTGCTATGAAGCAAATATCTGAAGACAAGGAACGAACAAAAGGAGCCCGAAATCGATGCACACGCCAATAAGATCCATCCATGTACAAACCCATAAACCATACCCGTCAAAGTCGACAAGGCTGAAAAACCAAGCAATGGCGGAAATCCAACCATAAATATCAATGTGAATAGTAAAACTTGGCCAAATTTCAATTCGTGCCACTTATCAGACATGACCACGATTGCTTGTATTATCGATTTATGGAATATCATAATCAAAACCACGACAATAGTATTGAGCACAAAAAGCACCTGTAACAACGTACGCTTCCACAACGGCTGGCTTTGGTACCAATCTAATGTTTGTTGTCCCACATCCCTCATGAGAACGAGCTTATCCTGGATAATGCTATTGGCCCTAGACATAAAATTGCTGCTCTGAGGAAGCTCATTCTGGCCTTGGAACGGATCAGAAGAAGACGGCAACCGAGGCATATCGATTATTCACTTCTGCTGTTATTTATAGCGAATATTATTATCTCCATATATATGATATCAAACAGGCTAATTTTGCCCTGGGTTAGCCTCCACGCATTTTGGTGGTCATGTGCCATCACCTACGCCTAATCACCAATATTCACAGCTATACACTGTCATATGGTTTTCTATCAACCCATTCAATCTGATAATCCTCGTATCTGCTACGGAAACATATACCTTCTTTCATAGCCTCGAATGAACGATTAGTACTTGTTGCAGTCCAACGTTTTGCATGAGCAGTATATTTAAACGTGCATTATTCCGATGCATAGCACAAAAAAAATTCCGATACCGGGAGTCGAACCCGGGTTTGCTCGGTGAAAGCGAACCGTGCTAGCCGTTACACTATATCGGAGTACTGGATGTAAGAGAACATGCTCATATGTATACAAGTTATGTAGTGTATGAGTTGTTGCAATGTTGCAACGATTAGAGAAACTATAAATAGGAAGAAGAATCCCGGTAAATCTCAGAATAGAGATTAAGGGAATTAGAATCTAAATAGAGAGTAATTAATTAGTCGTCAATCTATAAGTTAAGTTAAAATTAAATTAGTAGAATCTACATAGTATATTAAGAGTTAGTTATAAGAATTGCCTAATTTAGACCCAGTTCCCTTACATGAATATGTAATCGAGCATATATATATATTGACTTTATGTCCGTTTAATGAACAACTAAGTCGCAGACAACTGGATATAAAGTGGGCCTTACTGTAAAAGACTTGGTTGAAGCAGTTCCCTCTCTCGAAGATGTTGCTCATTTAGATTATTTGTCCCTCATACCAAACAAAACCAGGCTTCCAGTTTTTTGTATGGGTTTGTCGCGCCTCTACCCATATAAGCTTAAGAAACAAACCGGATGTTTATGTAGCATGTTATCAAGGAAATGATTCCGGTTCCGCTACCGCTCGCCGAATTCGCTAAAATTTATTATATTATAATGATTATGATTACATGTGTACTCACAAAGTCATCGATAAGGGTAGCCCCAAATCGATGACTACAATAAACACGCCGAATATTCAAGTGCAAGCGACATAAGATCTTTTAAGTGCTGCAAAAATTTTCGCTTCTAGTACCAGAGCTCATATTACCTGAAATTATGTCTCCCTCGCTTTTCTTGGTAAATCGACTCGATAAAGCTTGAACCAACGAGGGCATAGATTCACATATTACAGTTACTTGAGTATATCTCCCTTCTCAAACGTACATTTGTTACCATTAAAGCTAGCAAGCACTTTCAGCTGGTAATTAAAAATTATGATCTTATTTTGAAAAGGATTCAGTCACTTGATAGTCCATTCTCCTACTATACCAGAATTACAAAACAAATATCAGATCCCGAATCTCGTGAAGCATGAGGAAATAATACATTTCCACATACCGAATGTCGACATTCGCGTTCACTTAGGTTGGAACTTATCTCTTCATTTGACCTTTTGTTTTTCCTCTGTCTTGCAACATAGAAAGCAAGACATGGACCAATTGTTGTACTTAAGAGTTATGAGAAAACCAACAGAAGAGAGTTTATAATAGCATTGTTGGGGTATAAGTTGTTGCACTGTAGCTAGAAATTATTACCTACCTTAGATGAAATCAGAGTAATAAATCCTATTCCGAAGTAACAACAAAATTTATTGGGCAAACATTTTGACTACTTATCTCAATACCAAATGCGTTATTAAAATCAATAAGGTTAGATATTATGTACGACTGAGTTTAATCGTATTTTGGTTTTCTTGCAGACTAAATTATATTCTTTTTTATTGTTAACCAGAAAATATCAATTATGAGAAGACGCGAAATCTTGCAATTTATTACAAAGGATGTCGTCCGATGGCCATATGCGACGGCAACAATGCGCGATGCACCTCATTGGAACCGATTCCAAGCCTTCACAACATGAACCGATTGATCCCTAAGCCTTATTCGAAGGAGTTTTCGGATCTTTAGAATAATTAAACGATTGCATTTATTACGGTTTATATTCCAGAACATTTTAACTCATTATCTGTGCTTGAGTGATATTTAATAGCTAGAAGTTAGTTTAAGGGAATACCGGTACAAAAATATTACTGATTCGAAATGAAATATTTACTTTTATTAGCACTTCTAAGTGTTATTTCTATAGCGTCTTCGTGGTCTCCTACAGGAGGATATGCTCCTGGGAAGGTTGATTGTCCAGACAAAAGTTTAGTAAGAGATGCTTCGGATATATCCGACGAAGAAAAAGAATGGATCGAAGGCCGTAACAAGATTACTAATGAGAATTTGATTACCTTCTTGGAAAACTGTGATATGAAGGACTTTGATGCAGAAAAATTCATCAAAAATACCAGTAAACCAATTACTATTGGTCTTTCGTTTTCTGGTGGAGGATACAGAGCTATGTTGAATGGGGCTGGCCAATTATCGGCGTTAGACAACAGAACAGATGGTGCTAGTGACGCAGCCTTGGGAGGATTGTTACAAGCGTCTACATACTTGACTGGGTTATCTGGTGGAAGTTGGCTAGTTGGTACTATTGCCTTGAACAACTTCACTTCAGTGCAAAAGATTTTAAAAGACGGAGACATCTGGGATTTGGAACATTCTATCGTTAACTATGGTGGCTGGAACGTTTTGAGTACTTATAAGTATTATAAAAGTATTTCAGATGACATAAATGCAAAAGAAGACGCTGGGTTCGAAGTTTCCTTGACAGATACTTGGGCAAGAGCCTTGTCACACCAATTCTTTACTGAGTTAGATGATTTTGGCGCTAGCTTGACCTGGTCGGGCATCCGTGATATGAATCCTTTCAAGAAATACGAAATGCCATTCCCTATTGTTGTCGCAGATGGTAGAACTCCGGGAACCCAAATCATTAGTTCCAACTCATCTGTGTTTGAATTCAACGCCTTTGAAATGGGATCTTGGGATCCATCGTTGTATCAATTTAGTGACGTCAAATATATCGGTACTGAAGTTGAAGATGGTGAGTCTACTAACGGTACATGTATTGGAGGGTTTGACAATGCCGGGTATGTTTTAGGTACATCGTCTTCTTTGTTCAATCAATTTGTATTGCAGATTAATACCACTTCTCTTTCTGAGACTGTCCAGAATATAATCTCACATTTCTTAGAGAAAGTTTCAGATGCTGAAGATGACGTTGCCATTTACGAACCAAATCCGTTCTACAAAACAGACGAAGCTGCAGTCAAATCAATCGTTAAGAATGATACCCTTTACTTGGTTGATGGTGGTGAGGATTTGCAAAATGTTCCATTGCACCCATTAATACAACCTCAACGTAAGGTTGATGTTATTTTTGCTTATGATAACTCTGCGGATACAAACGAGTCTTGGCCAAATGGTGCTTCATTAGTTGCCACATACGAAAGGCAATTTTTAGAACAAGGTAATGGTACTATTTTCCCACATGTTCCAGATGTCAACACATTCCTTAATTTGAACTTAACAACCAGACCAACTTTTTTTGGATGTGATGCAAAAAACTTGACTTCGTTACTCCCGGATAACTCTGACAAAGATTCCGTTTTCGATTCTCCTTTAGTTGTTTATACAGCCAATAGACCATTCAGTTACTGGTCTAATACAACTACGTTTCAATTAGATTACGAAGATAAGGAAAAGAAAGGAATTATACAAAACGGTTATGAAGCTGCTTCAAGATTGAATAGAACTTTGGATGATGAATGGGCTGCATGCGTTGGATGTGCAATTATCAGAAGAGAACAAGAAAGAAATGGTATAGAACAATCTGACCAATGTAAGAGTTGCTTCGATACATATTGCTGGAATGGTGATCTCGACACAACTGATCAACCTGGGGTCAATTTCACTAATACTGGTTTAACAGATGGCGAAGACCAAATGTCCAGTGGTGTCTCCTTAATATTCGAAAACAGTTACCAAATCATGAAGTCCATCGGTTATGCTTTATTAGTTACCGTTGTATTTTCGATTGCTGCCTAAGAGGACAATTTAGTCCCAATTCGAATTTAAACTAGAATAAATAGCGTAAATGTAAAAATAGAAATAGAAATAGAATGTTATTCAGAATAGATCTAGAGTGAATGTGACACTATTTTATTTATCCATCATTATAGTAATTTCTGTGGATCATGGCGTTCGGATTCGCGATAATTTGTTAATATGTAGCCTTTTTGCATCAATTCATAATGCTGTGGAGGCTTCAAGACTAATTAACGTATACGATGTATTACTACAAAGCTGTGAAAAATGCCTATATCTCTGATAAAATCCAGTATATTTGACAACTTTAGTTCACAAGATACTTTATTATGACTATCACTTGTACCGCATTAATCGAAGACGATTTTGACTTGTTGGTTCCAATTCACGACCCTTCAAAGCCATTGGACGTAACATATTTAATACAAATCAAAGCTTCACCGTATCTGGAGCCGGACCACTTACTAGATCTCGCCAGATTAAACGATGAATATCGCATTCTCGCTTTGGCATTACAATCGTTCCATCCAGTTGATAACTCCAACTATGCATATTCTAGCTATCTGGAAGCATTTAATCTAGAAATTATCATCGACCTCGTTAGGAAATATTCGTTGAAATTGAACTTTACATTTCCTCCCACCACTGTGTATATCATTGTATTCAAGTCTGCTTTATATGAAGAAGTCCGCAATTCTTCTGAAAAGCGCCAGTTTCTAGCCAACGTCGACATGGCCTCTCATGCCGAGGCAAACAAATCAGGAGGATTACTAAAATATTGGTTTGGTACACCAGATGACACACATGGGAGAAACTTAGCTACATGTTGGTGGAGAAGTCGAGAAGACGCAAAATTGGGTGGTGGTGGTAAAGCTCACCGCAAAGGTATGAAGGAAGTCAAGAGGTGGTTCAAACATTGGCAGGTAGAAGAATATACTTTACAAATATTCGAACAAGCTAGTGGCTTTTCATTTGATAGAATCTAAGCATATGCAAAAAGAGCCACACTTGCTGCTGAGAAATGGAGTTCCACAAAATGCCTTTATCGCTGGAAGAGGCAAACTTATGTATTTTTAGTTAATCCCAATAAATAAATATCGTACTTTCTTGGACATTTCTATTATAAGCAAGTTATAGTGGAATGAAATATTGAAAAACAATAAAAATCGTATAATATTCAATAGGACAAAAGCCTAAATTTTACTCAAATATCGCTGCAGGGATTAAATAAGTTACATGATGCCTTCATCAATTGTAGTGAATAGCGAAAACAATGAAGAACAGTCGTCGAAAACTGGTAAAATAGTAGAAGAAGAATGGAATGTATCTGATACAGCTCTTTCGTCTGAATCCA